TCTCTCTCTCTCTCTCTCTCTCTCTCTCTCTCTCTCTCTCTCTCTCTCTCTCTCTCTCTCTCTCTCTCTCTCTCTCTCTCTAGGGTTACTTTCGATAAAGGTATAATTTATGTGATACTTCGTAAAGTCCTGTATATTTTATTTAAAAAATATTTAAGTACTTAAAAAACATATCTTCTATCGCGAGTAGAACGAAAATGAAAGAAGACTTCGCCAATTATAATATTTATAGAATCCTAAATTATACATCGCGTGATATTTCACGAAAAAGAAATATCAAAGAATTGCTTTTTCGAACGAAATAATTGTGCGGTTTGGATTTCTCTCTCGGCGAGCGTAAACAGAGTAGAGACGCCTGGAAATTATTTGTCTAGACACGCGATACGAACACTGCAAATTGCGGGTCAAACGAGATCTTTCGCCGAGTAAAGTCATCCCGAAATTTTGTCTGTCTAACGATTACATTGCCTGCTGGAATTCGATTAGAGTTATATATATTGGCTAAATTATCTTTTATAAGATCCAGAGATTTACCAATCAATTATTTCAAAACATGCTGCAAATTTTTAATTAATAAATAAAAATTAAATTAAATTATTAATTAAAATTCAAATTTTTGCATTTTAATTAATTCCTTAATGAAGAGAGAAGTATTTAACGATCTTTTCTGTTGCTTTTAAAAATTAGATTATATATTTTGAACTATGTTTTCTAGAAAAACAATCTTAGTATTATAAGTGTTGTAGTGTTTTAAGATCAAGATTGAAAATAATTTTTATGGTAAACGTAATTCCTGTGGAAATTAGGACGAAGTATATTGTTATCCAGTGTTTGTTACAAACACTAAAAAGAAACTTAATGAAAATGACCTAGTATCCCGTATTGCACAAACTTGCTCGAAAGCATATTTCATTATCTTAGATGCGCCCATAACTTTTTTATCAAGATGCAAATGTTCCATTGCATTAGCAAAGAATATGCTGTAAGGTGTGAATTGATCCATGCAAATATATCGCAGCGATTTTGTACGCTACGTGAAGTTTAACAAGACTTACTAACTAAAAGCTCCTCATGGCATCGCGAATCATTATTATTATTATATTATCTTGAACGTTACTTGCGAGTTGCGCATTATTAATTAACGTAGGGCGAGGCGAGTGCGGCGGGAAGAGGATTTTGGTGTAGCGAATTTTCTTTTTGCGCAGGAGAAACATGAAGTGAACGGAGAGCGACGCATCGCCGCCCCGGAGGGCTCCCCATCGTCTGGAAGCAAAAGATCAGTGACACGGAGAAATACGGCATGGATTTCCCGAAGCGGGAATGGAGCCACAGGCTCAGTCTTCGTGGTAGCCGAAGGGCTCACGAGGTAACTATTTCATCGAGGATCATTTTTCTTTTTTACAATATTGAGCATGAGCAGATTTGCAACGAGCAGATTTGCAACGAGCAGATTTGCAACGAGCAGAAATGCATTCGATCAAAAATACACGCGAGGTGCAAAACAAAAAAAAATATAAATAAAATATAAATAAAAGGTATAAAGTATTAACACTTTCGAAATCTTCGACATTTTTTTCGTTCGAAATTGCCATGTGAAAATCGTATCGTAATTAAATTTATTAGAGACTCCTTTCCATTTGCGTTTCATTGAATTCAGATTTTTAGGCGTCGTTTCAGCTCTACAAATTTATATTCAAATATTTGGAAACGAGAATTTTTAGCCTGGTCGTGGCCGCTTTTCTTGACGGCATGTCGTGCCGCCGTACGTCCGCGATTACGCATGAAAAAGGAAAAGTAAAGACCGTGAGTTACATGCGAGATGCATGCCCTTGCATATATTATTCATAAACGGATTTCTCTGGGAAATGTCCGCATATGCCTCGCGATATCACATGCGTCACTGCAGCATATGCGAGTACGTTTTTTTATGTGTCGTCACGAAATATTAATTGCGAAGGGGTAAATTGAACGAATATATCTGCATGCATTATTTCGACGTAATTGCGTTACAAATGCGTGCGTGCGTGCGTGCGCGTGTGTGTGTGTGTGTGTGTGTGCGTGCGTGTGTGTGTGTATGTGAATGTACATATATATATGCATCTTTTGGCATCGATGATTACGGAGATTGACATAAACGTAATTTAATCATCGCATATATGCAACATTTATAATAAAATTTATATTGTTATTATTTTGCGCCGGATATATATTAATGTCGGTAGACATATATTCCGGAAGCGCGAAATTATTTTATACGCGATGGCGTAGCGTAATATATATTCGCTATTAAAATGAGGTGTGGCAATGACAACGATAAAGGGGCTCTCACGATAGGATTTACGAAATTCAATATTCCGTTAGAATTAACGAAACAAAGGGAAAAACGATAGTACGCGAGTCTCGATTAAAGAAGAAATTATATTGCGCTGTCGAGTCGATTATTAGATCGCACGTTGCGACGACGTTTTTTCCATTGTTGTCCACTGTCGCGTCGCGAGATCGTTTTCAAAAACAAAACTCAAAGAAATTCTTCTCGATATTACAAAAGTATGGTGTTTTATATATAAAACAACGATTATCGATTTGCCGCTGACATAACTCTCTCATTACGAGCTAGAGAGATATCCTCGGCGGTAAAGCGACGTGCCAGGTGGCACGTTATCAACCCTTCGGCGGGGCACACGTTGCACGCATATGTTAGAAACACGTCGACGAAGAATGGAGGCGTACGGTATATGCCGAGCTAAATGCTCCGTGTGTGTTTAGAATTAGATCTGATTTCGTCAGAAGACAACGAACGTCCATTAGCGCGTTTCAGTCATTTTATCGTTGCGTTCGCGCGCCAAGTGGCACCTACACATCGGGCCGCTCGTTAATTTTCGTCTTGCGGATATTTCGAAACGCCCGGAACGATCCGCGCCAATGACGATTCCCCCGCTCGAACAGATAACGTCGTGATATTGCGATAAGATATAGAGGATCTCGACAAAGCAGATCAATAAAGAGCGATTTCAAAAAAACGGCCCGACTTCGTAACAACTTTAATTTCGAGTTGCAGTTGCGAAATTTTTTATCCTTTAATTTCGCGGGACAAAGAGGAGGAAAAAGAGTGTAAAAAAAAAAAACTCGTTGCGCGGTGCTCGTGATTTGTCAGATCGAATGAAATGCAGGAGAGCCAGCTCCGGCAGAACGGATTGCTTGCTATAGCGAATTCGAATGCAGCAGTGCGCACTGATGCACATTAAAGGCTGTCGTACGCAAATTGACATAAAGGTGTATGCATGGTAATACGGCATTATCATACATAAGCAGTTGGATCAGCAAAATATATGCGCCCGGCATAACTTATCGCATTGTCATTGTAAGGAGAATGCATGATGGGGCGTTTCATCAATCAAGATGCTTATGCTTTTACATCCAGGTGAATTGACGTGCAACAGGCACTAAACCCATGCGCATCGAATGCCCGACTGAATGCGCTATTAAATGAACTGCAGCGTGTTGCAGAGTGATAATCGGGAAGTTATTGAAAATAAATAACTGTTAATTTATAACGAACGGAGTGAAACGAAATTCGATATAGTAGAGGAAATATATCGTTCTTATTAATAGTATAGCGCAAAAATAATATAAAATTTCAAAATAATTATAATAATATAATTAATAATTTAATATAATATATAATATATAATAAATATTATAAAGAAAAATCAGTAATTCGCGTGATTTCTAAATAATAATGATTATTCTTTTATTTCAATTTATAATCGAGATATTTTTGCAAAATTATTAAATATATTTTTTAACAGTGTGTTTTCAAAATTTTCTAGATAATTTCATGGAAACATCACCGATGCATTCGAGAATCATTTTTAATCTGAATCACAATGTAACCAATCCAAATTTTCGATTTTTTTGTTTACTTTGAGTTTACGTGTGAGTTAGCATTTATTTTGACAGGTCCGTAAACGTATATTCCTTTTCACATCATGTGCTAAAAAGAATGATAAATATCTTTTACAGACTTTAATTTTATTCTGTTTACTCATCACAAGATAACAGCTGTTTATTTTAACTTTAAGCTGTTATCTGTTACATTTAAGATTATACGAAAAATAGAGTCGCCTAAACAATTACGAGAATTTGAATAAAGAAACAACGATAGCGACATTATAAAATATTAATCCCGCAGTCGGAAAATATAATGCGTCAAAAATGAAGCTCGACGAAATCGCGACGCGATTAAATCGACGATTGACCTAAAAGCGAAGCATTTAAAGCGACGTTTACGGGGCACTTGCGAATGCGCGAATCACCTTTCCGATAATCGCGCATCTCGCAACGAGACGGCATTATCGCTTTAATACTCTCCTCTTTAGGCGCGTTGCTCTCGCGTCGCGATTCAGTAATACCCGCGCGGGTATTACACAACCGAGAAATACACGATGCCTTAATACTCGCGATGCGGACCGACATTTTCTAGCCGAGGATGTAGTCCGGTGTCCACACAAAATGGATTTGTCCGTCCCGTGTAATCCGTCGCCGTATGTAATCAAACCGTCGCGCGCACAATGCCATCCGCGATGCGACGCGTACGCGGAATGCCGTCAGATATGTGCACGTGTACACGTTCGGAGGGAGAGCTGCCCTTAAACTAGCATTTCTACGCCACGCGATCCGATTTACCTACCATCGCATCGGTGCGGAGAGAGCGCTTGAAAATACGGTTACGTTTTGTTAACTCGTATTAACGGACCGACGTGCATTACGGCAGAAGATAATGAACGCGATCGATTTGTACAGCAGTGTACGTGGTGTGTGTGTGTGTGTGTGTGTGTGTGTGTGTGTGTGTGTGTGTGTGCGCGCGCGCGCGCGCGCTTCTGTGTAAAATAACAAGGTGTTTACTGCTTGGAAAAATCTGGGAAACCTGGAAAATCTGAAATTCTCAGAGAATATGATCGCCTTGAAAAATCAAGGAATTTTCGGGAAATTTTATCGAAAATTAGGGAATTTTTTTGAAGTTTCTTTCTTGCATATTTTGTCTTTGATATTCATCCACTTTAACATCATAACACATTGATTTTATGATTAATCCAATATCCAGTATTGAAAACAACAATTTCATGTTAGGTACAATTTTGTTTAACGAAGATGAATATTTATTTTAATAATTTTATAAAAGTTGAATCTTGTACTAGTTATATATAATATAATGTTTTGTTTGTAATTTTTGTGCAAGCAAAATTGTTTGAAAATTTTTTGTAATATGGAATATTTATTTTTTAAAATCTTTAGTTTCTTTCAAAATTTTTAAAATTTAATTGAATTGAAATTAAAATGACTTTTAATTTTATTTTATGATTTATAAACTTTTATAAATGAAAAATATTAAGGATTTTTCACAATAAATATACAAGGCGTCTGATTCCTAATGATACAGCGCTTGTGAAGGTAAAGCGGATTAAATTGAGCAGAAAAGTCCTCTATTATTTTACGATTTTCGCAATTAATAACGAATTATTTATTTGTAAGAGACATTTAAAAACACTTTCATTTTGGAAATTTTTAATAAATTGAAAATCAGAAAATTTGTAGGGAACTTTGTTTAGACACCCTGTTCTTCGTAAAACACGTAAAGAATTAATAATATAGAATATTAATCAACATAATTATTCAATAAAAGCAGCGCTCTTAAATGTATTTTAAACAAAGTAAATAATAAAGTGTAAAAATTAACAATGCGATCGATGTAAAGAAAAAAAATTGCAATTAATAAAAGCGCTAAAAAGCAGTCCATGAGGTACAGCAAAAATTATAATCAACTGGGGAGTTAAGGAAGAAAACATTAAGATAAGATAACAAGCGAATAATATGGCTTTTAATTATATCCTCGTTGTGCAGTTGAAGTGACATGCCGTCGAGCGTATTTATGCTATTTTACAATATAGATATATATTGAGCTGTGCTCAATTATCTTGCGATAGAACGTAAAACTGCGAATGATTAATTTTCGCGTTACCTCGTCTTTATGCGTCTCACTCTCGCTAACGACGCGAACGATAACAAATGGTACTCTGCAGATGTCGTAATAAATTATACTTTTTTCGTTCCTCCCACACGCTTTTTTCTTTGCTTGCTCTTGACTGGCGTATGGTCCTACAAAAGTGGCTTTTTATGATTTTAATTTCACATATCTCCCATTCTGTTGCATTCATCCTCCGATCACGTACGAGTCGTTTATCGGTGAAGAGAAGCGCGTACTTCACCTGCGCAGATCACGTAACACAACCGATCTGTCTCTTTCGCTTTCTTCGCAACGTTTCGTGCGAATAACTTATGATTCGCCCGACCTAGAACGTTCCGGGA